TTAGAGACTGGAAGGGATCTGTCCTTCTTTCCCTCCTGGACTTTTATTTGGAGGGGAGAGGAGATCTGATCCATTGTAAATACTATATGTCATGGTAGAGATATTGTGATCGTGTGTATAATGTATTGTAGTATTTATTTTGTACAGTCATTGTAATATATTCCCTTTCCCCATTTAGAGTCTGGTGTGTTTTGTCTGGAAAAAACCCATCTCACATTAGGTTGAGATGTGGGAGGGGGCTTAGACTAGGGGATTGGATTTTGAGGCTATCTCAAACCATGACAAGTGTGGGACGAATTAAGTATTGACAGGGAAATAAGCACCACTACAGTAAAGATTTTTCAATCAATTTATTTAATCTATAAATAGCATTGTCAGAGAGATCTTTGAACGCCAAAAAGCAAAACTGGTCTTAAATTGATTAAATCAAAGGAACAACAATCTAGCAAAGACTCTTGAACACAGTCATGGGTCCTGCTATGAATCTCTGAACTCTGGATTTCCAGAATACTGGAAGATACACAGATGAATATTATTTTATATTTATATCCAAAGATGGAATACAATGTAAAGAGCACTTAGAATAGTTCAAGGTAGTTCTTCTCTCTGACATACTGTGCTATATTATGTTACAACTGAACGAAGTGAAACAGAGTAGTATTTAATAATCTAATTGAGTTCAGCAGTGCAGATAACAGTGAAATCCACATATCATATCCAAGATCTGTAAGTAGAGAGCTCTGTGAAAAGATAACTGTCATCAGACTTAGACTGGCCTCAGAAAAAGTTAAGGTATGCACCCAAATGTCACTGTGCTTGCCCAGTGAATGGTTGTCCCTGCTCCCTTAGCTCAGATTCATGGAGCATCTATGGCTTACAGTTACTAGGGGTTACCCTCATTCCTCTGGTCATCATTAGCTGCATGTCCTGTCTTAGGAACCTTCTCATATTATTTATAGGAGATTTTTTCACATAGCTAGTCAGAGACCAAAATTTTCTAATTATATCCAGTAACATCACTTTCCAGTTTTCAGTTCATTCAGTTTGCCAGACAATGCTTTGCCAAAGACAAGGTTTGCCAAAAATGCTTTGCCCAAAGACAGAGGAGGCATCTGCAGCATGCACTGCCCAGACTCTATAAAAGTGTTCTTGAAATTGTGCTCTCCTGTCTCCAGAGAAAACTTTATGGTAAGTGCATGTCTGTGGCTGACAGAAAGGGACAGCTTCCCTGCAGTCGATGTCCCGCTTCAGCCCTTCTGTCCTGTACCTGCAAGGATTT